AAAAAAAAAAAAAAAAAAAATTCTGCACGATATATGAGGGTTTGACTCTCGGTGTGACGGATATTTTAATATCGTTCCTCGATAAAAATGTGACTTTCAATATTCATCGATTCTAAACGAATCTCTCAATAAATCAATGAATCCGTAACGAGTATATAAATTCATAAAAATTTCATTCCACTGAAAAAAATTGGTTTCACTGCAAACAAAGTATCTGTTGCAAGTGGTGTATTTGATACAAATCTGTAATGTAAAATTCTGTTTTATAAATTGGCAAAATATATATTGGATATTTACCAAATATCCAATTGTATACCAATTTAACGTTAAAAAGTGTCTTTTAATTCGCATACCATTAATATTATCAATCTATCAATCAATTAATTTTTTATTGCTCTTTATTTTATACTTATTGTTATTTAATTAATTTCCAAACTCCATAACACGAAGAAACGTATCTTTTCAAATGACAGAACTGTCTCGTGCTCAAAAATTTCAACGAACTCTAACAAACATTATCGAGAAGGGACTCCCGCTAATTGCGCTAATTGTAAGAAACGCGTTTTTATAAAATTTCGTTTGACTGATCCTCACTGTACAGAAATTTCCGCTGACCGAAAGAAAAAAGTCCAAACCGGATCCAAGACTTTTGTCAAAACTGTCGAAAGAAAAAATCGTTAATGTCACTGAGGAAGGAAACCGCGAGCTGTTGTGTCTCGATCGATTTGCGAACGATGTAGGAGAAAGGAGATCTACCGCGAAGCATCCTGTTTGTGCGATACCCGCCGATACCCACCGGCTGTTTATCTTGGACGATCCGAAGAAAAATGGTCTGCTAGTTGCTTTCACGAATCGACGTATCCGGGACATGGCTGGATCGCGGGGCATTAACGTAGGAAATTACAAAGCTATCTCGCGAAATCTTAAACCAATCTCTGCTGTGAGAAAGAAAGATCGCTGATCCTGTCACGGTTCTCCTAACGACCGACTGACCCCGTTCGCTCGCAACCGGTCGATCGAAAAGAAATGTTCCTCCGCCGGGGGAACAATGGTACTCTACGATCGTTCGGTAAATAAATTAACGATTACAGATATCGCATATCTGTTTCTAACGGGTAATAAAATTAAACTGGAGATGGATGGGAAAGTCGTGTTGGGAAAGTAACAATTATTCCACTATAACAATTATTAGTTCTTATCGATTTAGCGATTTATTGCACTTTCGATCATGGATATAATCGGAAGTTTAAATTAAACTACTATCGAGTTTTTTTGTATTTTGTATTTTTATTATTTTTTTATTTGTGTACTAAGGTATTATGAACGTTATAGATATTATTGTTGTAAATTATAATATGTCCTGAAAGATGGCAAGAGATAATCGAACAAAATGGTCAACAAGGTTTTCGTTT